GGGGACAGTGAGGGACAGAGAGGGGACACGAGGGGACACGAGGGGACACGGGGGAGAGCGAGGGGACAGTGAGGGGACAGCGAGGGGACAGCGAGGGGACCCGAGGGGACAGTGAGGGGACACGAGGGGACAGTGGGGGACACGGGGGACACGAGGGGACACGGGGGAGAGCGAGGGGACACAAGGGGACACGAGGGGATAGTGAGGGGACAGAGAGGGGACACGAGGGGACACGGGGGGACACGGGGGGACACGAGGGGACACGAGGGACACGGGGGACAGAGAGGGGACACGGTGGACACGGGGGGACACGAGGGGACAGAGAGGGGACAGAGAAGGGACAGAGAGGGGACAGCGAGGGGACACGGGGGGACAGAGAGGGGACACGGGGGACACGGGGGACACGGGGGACAGCGAGTGGACAGAGAGGGGACAGCGAGGGACACGAGGGGACACGAGGGGACACGAGGGGACAGAGAGGGGACACGAGGGGACACGAGGGGACACGGGGGACAGAGAGGGGACAGAGAGGGGACACGAGGGGACACGAGGGGACAGCGAGGGGACAGCCAGGGACACGAGGGGACAGAGAGGGGACAGCGAGGGACAAGAGGGAGGGCAGGGGGACAGAGGTGGGGACGGGAGTTGGTCTGAGCGGTGCCTGGAGTGCTGGCACCAGGTGGCACCTGCAGCCGGTGGCACCCACTGTCACCTGCAGCCGGTGGCACCGACAGCCAATGTCACCTATACCCAGTGCCACCTGCACTGTCACCTGCACTGTCACCTGCACCCAGTGTCACTTACAGCCAGTGGCACCTACAGCCGGTGGCACCCAGCGCCCAGTGTCACCTACAGCCAGTGTCACCCACATCCACTGTCACCTGTGCCCAGTGTCACCCACACCCAATGCCACCATCACCCAGTGTCACCCCCACCCAGTGTCACCCCACCCACATCCCCAGCACCCCTTCACCCACAACCCCCACCCCAACCCCCTGCCCCATTTCCCCGGTGCCCACCCCGTGCCCCCCATGCCCCCTGGTGCCCCCCGGTGTCCCCCCCGGTGTCCCCCGGTGTCACCCACCGGTGATGCTGAACTGGGAGCTGGCGTGGCCGATGGGGATGAACTTCTGGCGGCCCCGGTAGTGGTACACGGCCACCTCCATGGTGTAGGAGCCCAGCGCCACCCCGGCCGTGCCCACCGTGAGCCGCGACGCCGCGCCGTCCACCACCTGCCAGTAGCGCCCTGGGGACAGCGGGGACAGTGCCAC